AAAAAAAGAAAGAAAAAGAAAGAAAGAAAGAAAATACATTAACACATGGAATACTTTTTTTTTTTTTTTTTTTCTCGTGACAGAAGAATTATGAGTGACTAAGAATTCTTAACATTTATATGAAAAAAGAAATTAACATTTTGTTTATTCGGAGCTCTTCCTGTCACCCACACACACACACACACACACACACACACACACACAAAAAAAAAAAAAAAAAAAAAAAACACCTAAAAATGATTTTGGTTAAGATTTGTGGTCATTTCATGATGGTATGCACTGGTAATTTACTCATAATATTGGCATCGTTTATTAAATGGGGGGCTGTAATAATAAGGAAATGACAACAAATATTACCACATTCTGCATTTGCAATACAATTTTATATTTAGAAATAAGGATCATTTTGCATCAAAACTGTTTGTTGGTACTAATACATAACAGAGGCAAACTTTGAGAGACGACTTACTTATTCCTGAAGACTAGCAAATCTGTGGAGAATTCAAATTTTAGTTTCAAAGTTCAAAAAAATATATATAGTCAACCTCCCTTAAACATGAACTAGCTTAAGGCGAATACTTAGTTATCATGAACAAAATTTCGGTCCTGGCAGCGATATATATGACCTTACAAGAAGTTTTATTGATTAGCATGAATTTCAGTTATTAAGAAATTAAAAACTGTTTTTTAGTCTTTTTTTCCCCATCATTTAGCAAGAACTTTCAATGTTTTCATATTTTTTCCCATTTGTTTTACTGCTAGGGCAGTGATCAGAAACGTTCTATTCTATTTAATTGAAAACCTCACAGAATACACTTTAAAAAAATAACTACCATAACAAGTAACATTGCTTAACTATTCCAGCTAAAACTGAAATGAATTGCATTTACAATAAAATATTTACATACATTTACTGAACTGCAGTTTAGTTACATATGACTTTTCAGCATGTATCAACATGTCTTTTACTCTCCAAAAGTTCTAGAAGCACTGTTCGGCAGATCTGTAGATAGCACTCTAGCAGCTTTCAGGACATCACACCTAACCTTAACTCATGGAAAAGAATTTGTGTCCTAAACAAAAGCCACGAGTCTGACTCGTGGTGAGGAATTTGTGCATAAAATGCTGCGTACAGTCAAAAGTCTTTAATCCGGACTCGTCAAGACTTCGGCGATTCCGGATTATCGATTTTCCCGGATTATAGATCATCAGTTTAAATCTGGTAAGATGGTATGCAGAAATTATATAATTAAAAATATGAAATCGTAATTTATGAAATAAAGAGCAATTGTGATCTAAAGGGTATCAAAATTTACCAAAAAAAAAAAAAAAAAAAAAAAAAGCTTAATATTTATTTGTTTACTTTATTAAACATTTCTTTCATTGCACACATGCGTAAAGCATACATTACGCATAGTCGAAATTAGAAAATTGCAACCAGAAAACTATTTTATGCGTATTCGCGATATTTATAATGATGAGGAAATTGATTTAAATCATTTCGGAGTTCATCAACACGAAACACTACATTTAGTAAGGAATTATAAGACGAATAAAATAAAAACATCTGCCCCGAAGATGAGGATAGTGCTGACAGATCAACTTTCAGTTCATTTCCCGTTGAGATTAAAGACTTTTGACTGTATTATTATTAAAACAAGCAATTGGAGTTATTCTACATCGAATATTTTTCCTTTGATTGCAACATCAGTATTTTTTTCCGGTTGTTTCTGATGAAACTGGATGATCTGTTACTTAAGTTCCCCATAAAGCTTCGTTACGTTCATACGTTTCAAATATAATTTTGTATAAAGAATTAAAAAACTAATACCCATCATACCTATCATGCAATAAATTTTGTCATCTAATCCATTGATTATGATTACACCCTAGACGTCTTAAAATTACTATTTGTACTTAAACATCGTTTATTATTTCACAATTCCTTTCGTTACACTGAAATATATATCATGAAAAGTATACGGTACTTTTCCGTTTCGCCGGCGCAAATCTCGCCAAGCAGACTTTGTTGGCGACAACATACAGTATACACATAAAAAATGTTAATGTTAGTTCTAAGCATTTGTTATTTTGAAGGCATAAACATTTTAATATGGTTTAAAATTTTTTAAAAAGCCAATAAATAAAGACAATAAATTCGTAAAAAGACATTAATTTAAGAATTTACTATGCTTTCATGGTTCAACATCCCGATTCACCAGTTCTTATCACGTGACCCCCAAGTGATCTCATCTCACGTAAACTACGCTACAAAAATCTAATTCTCCCATTAATGATTTACATTAATTTCAGTTAAATCTTGATTTGGAATACAAGTTAGTTTAAATGCAAGAATTATTTCAATTCGTACGAATAGCTTACTCGGAAATTATGTAAAAACCGCACTGCTTTACTTCGCTAGTGCATTCTCATTAGAATGGATGAATTTAAACCTTGATTTTGCCTTTTTATATTTTCTCCTTCCGATGAGCGGTGTGATTGCATCCTAATTGACTTAATTACCGGGAATGGTCTTAGGGCATAAAATTGAACCATCTTGCAAAAATTCTATGTAATTGTATGCCAGTATTGAAAGAATGGCTGCAACTTGTTTTGAAAATGAAGCGTAAAAGGTTGCCAGCGAAGGTATTCCGTTTGCCATCGGTTGTACCATTATTGGCGACTTTATCGTTTGCGCCGGCAAAACGGAAAAGTACCAAGTATACATTTTGTGCCAGTTTGGGTGCACGGCTGAACAGTTGAATAGCACAGCGCGCGACCGACTTTCTTGTTCGCGCAATTGGCAGATATCGTGTAGGCTACGAAATTAAACTGCAAGCAGTGAGAGAGTGATTCATGGACAAGAGGAAGATGACAGGCAAATAAATTAAATTAAATTAAATTCAAATTAAATTAAAAATCCTAAAAGGAAGTAGACTGTGGTACATGGAAAAAAGTACACTCTGCAAAAAACATTTAACTTTTCCAAATCTACCTTATCCACAATATTTGAAATGTCGTCAAAAAAGTTTTAATGCTGCTCATCGGATTCCGGGAAAAAATCTAAGCGACTTTGCAGTGCTAAGTATGATAATGTCAAAACTTTTATTTCTAGAATGGTTCAATTATATATGCACATTCAATGTACCTTTAAGTGAACCTATAAATCAGTCAAAAGCAAATGAGACTGCAAAAAACTTGGACATATTCTACACTTCCAAAAGATCGTTTCCAACCACCAGATCCAAAACATCATCCATAAGATTATCATTAGTGATTTGAGGTAAAGTAAAATACAGTTATGAAGGAGGAACAAATAACTAATTGCATGAATTTAACCAAATAAGAAAAAAGTATACCTTGAGTGATTCTACAAAATGGAGGAAACTTGATAATTTCACAATCTCTTCCCAAATCATACCCTCAGAATAAAAAGTAATAAGTGCCATGGAGGAGCACACAGTAAACTACATTTAACTGATTTCTTTATGTGTAATGCAGATGACAGTGATAAACACCATCCTTGGGTGATCAGAATCTATATTGTTTTAAGAACATAAACAGCGCACACACACACAAATGGAATAAGTCGTTTTGAGCCTTTGGATCAAGGTATTACTGCAGTTATGAAAAGGTGTTATTGCAAGCAACTTGTGAGAGATATAGTTCACACTCCTGAAATGAAGACAGAAATGCCAACTTGGGGTGTGTTTGATAGAATAAAAGCTACCATCGCACCCTGAAAATCCATATCATCACAACAAATATAGAATTGTTTCAGCACAGCCTGGAGACAAAGACGTTAATGATGTTGATGAGTAAGATGGTCACAAAGATACCAATTCAAATGACTAATGGAATAGTCTGCAAGACACTACAAACCATGGTCTTAGTTTAAAAAATTATGCTAGTGCAGATTACTTACTACGTTGCAGTGTGTACGCCAATGGAATTTGATGTACAAGCAGTTGTATCTGAAATATCATCAGAATAAAATGAGGATGACAATATTATTTCACCTGCCCACCAGGAAATGTTACACACACCTTGAACACTATAGAGTGTTTTGCTGCAACATTCAAACTGACAGCTAGTTTTATGGAAGCCATGACTACAGTTAACGTCAAGTTACCATTCATTTTCGTTCCTGTCTGTTACAATACAATGTAGAGGAATTTTACAAATTTATCTGCGAGTGCATTTTTTCAAGTTGGAATATAGTAATTAATATAGTACTGTACTATTTTCTATGATAATATGCATAATACATTGTAGTACTTATTTAACTATTGTAAATGGTTAATGTGTACAGAAAAATTATTCCAAAAATAATATTCGAGTACACAGCTAACATGAATTTCTTTTTAAATCAACTCTTCATTTTTCATTGAGACTCATGTTAATGAGGGTTTACTATATTTAAATTTTGAAGGGAACTAACTACCTTGTAATATACATCTTCACACCAGTTTGAAGGGCAAGAAGCTTTTAAGATATTTTGCTTTCTTACTTTTTTTAGTAATGTAAATATCATTTTAATGAATGTAAGTTTAAGAAAATACAGACTAAATCATTACACAAATTTAGGTAGTGGAATGCTGTTTAAATACGAGTTTTCATGACAGATCTAAAATCCCATGCTGCTCAGAGAGTTAAATCCATAAAAATTAACAGTTACAGCAGAAATAAAAAATAATAGAAAAATTTAAAATTCATGAAATAGTTCAACATTCACATAAAATTTCATATATACTGAATTTCAGATTATTTTCTAAAATTCACAAAAATAACCGCAGAAATTTACATCATAAAATTAATTATCTTAAATATCACGTCTTAATTATGTATTCATCAACTATTTTACAACCAGTTTGCAGTTAAATGCTCAAACCAGCTAATTTAAAATATTACTGAAGTCACAATATGTTTGTAAATATCCAATACTTCAAAAATGCTAAAAATACTTTATTAAGCAAATTTTTTATATATAAATTTATTACCTTGTAAAGGAATTTCTTTTGAAGTATCCATGGGCACACATGAATTGGGTGATGATATACTTCTCGAACATGCACTATCTGTAGGTGATAAATGAGACACTTGTTTGCTATTTGAACTTGAACTATCTGTCACTGACCCTGGAGTATCTGTGTCCATTTTACATGAATCTACATCAGGTCCATGCCTATCTTTAGAATGGTCTTTCTGACAAAATGTAAAACTTTCTGATTGAGTTAAATTCCTAGAAATGTTATTTGCCCCATTAGGCATATCTATAGGAAAGCTTTCATTTGAGCGATTTATTCCAGGACATGGAGGAACACAAAGTTTAGCTTTTGATTTAAAAAGCTCAATGGCACGAGCAGCTGCTTCATCAGGCTCGAGCTTAGGAGCTTTCTGACATGAAGCACAATTTTCATTTTCACATGACTGATTTCCACAACCATCAGTTAACTGGAAATAATAACGTTCAATAAGCTTCTTTGCAGCAGTTCGTTTCCTGAAAAAAAAAAGTTTGTAAATTCAACAATTACATAAATATATATAAAAATCCTGAATTATTCCCATTATATAGCACTTTTTTTCAATGAATAATCATAGAACTATGTAGTAACTCCAAAGCTCCTGTTACTGAAATGAAGCTTACATTAAGCTCCTCTAACAACCTTGGAGGACAAGACATTTAAACTATAGCTTTTCATACATGTACTAATTTTAAATTAATCTTGCAACCTTTACAGATTTTCTATGAAAATACTTTTAAATCAGTCAAAGGGAATATGTAAAAACATTTTTCCTTTGTGTTCCAGTTTTCGAATATATATTATGTGCAACTTATTTTAATATGATGTTTTAATTTAATTTTCAAATATTTTAAGTTTATTTCAGATCAAACTATTAGATTTAAATAATTCGGTACTTTTCCGTTTTGCCAGCGCAAGCGATAAAGTCGCCAATAATGGCATACAACCGATGCGAAACGGAATATTCTCGCTGGTATCCTTTTACGCCTCATTTTCAAAACAATTCGCAGCTTTTTATTATCAGATTGTTTCTTTCAATACTGGCATATAATTACATAGAATTTTTATCAGATAGTACAGTTTTATGTCTAAGGCCATTTTCGGTAATTAAGTCAATTAGGATGCAATCACAGTGCTTATAGCCGAAAATATAGAAAAGGTAAAGTCAAGGGTTAAATTCATCAATTCTAATGAGAATGCATTAGCGAAGTAAAGCATTGCAGTTTTACATAATTTCTGAGTAAGCTATTCGTACAAATTGAAATATTTCTTGCATTTAAACTTGTGTTCCAAATTAAAATTTAACTTGAAATTAATGTAGATAATTACTGAGAGAATTAGATTTTTGTAGAGTAGTTTACGTGAGATGAGATCGCTTGGGGTCAGGTGATATGAACCCGCGAATCAAGATGTTGAACCATGAAAGCCTAGTAAATTCTTAAATTAATGTCTTTTTACAAATTTGTCTTTATTTATTGGCTTTTTATAAAATTTTAAGCGATATTAAAATGTTTATGCCTTCAAAATAAAAAATTCTTAGAACTAACATTTTTTATATGTATACTGTATGTTGTCGCCAATAAAGTCTGCTTGGCGAGATTTGCGCCGGCAAAACGGAAAAGTACCGTTTTTGGATATTTTATTTATTTTATGCGTGCAAATGTTCATCTTTGGAAAGTGTATATACTTTTTCGCTATCAGGTAATTTCATATATGTCCTTTTTACCGAATTTAAAGGTTCACAAAATTTTTCTAATTTATGAGAAAAAAAGCAGTGTACATGGATATAGTGAAGAGTGTGCGCAATGCCATTTTTGTGCAATTCTGGGATGTTTTTTTAAGTAAAAATAAGTCGACGTGTACATGATTTAATTATATTTTAATTAAATGATAGTTATTTTGTGAATTACATGTTTGTAGTAATTTGGTAAACGTTTGAGTGGAAGTAAACGTGCATGGAAATAATTTAAATATTTGACACTAAGTATTTATAACCATTTTTAATGTTTTGTTATGAATTCGTTGGTGACGTTTATAATAGATAATTTAGAGGTAAAAGTTTTTGGATATTTTATTTATATTATACGTGGAAATGTTCATGTTTGGATAGGGTATATATACTTTTTCGCGATCAGGTAATTTCATATATGTGCTTTTTACCGAGTTTAAAGATTCACAAAATTTTCCTGCATTTTCGTGCAAATTTTTGTAATTTATGAGAAAATAGCAGTTTAGATGGATAAAGTCAAGAGTGTGCGCAATGCCATTTTTGTGCAATTCTGGGATTTTTTTAAAGTAAAAATAAGTCGACGTGTACATGGTTACTGTGTATGTGCGATTTTGAAAAACGCGGCAAGGAGTTTGCGATTCTGCACTTTTTCCCAATTTTGCAGTTAATATTTGTCATGATTAAGCAGTTTTGTTCCATAAAATTTCTAGCATAAGTGTAATTCGGCTAGTAGATTATTGGAAAACGTGTTGAGTAAATAAAAAGAAAAGAAACATGTCTTTACTTCGTGAAGACAAAATGGCGGCGAAAAAAAAACAAAACAGAAAGTTGCTGTAGCAGAGTTGGTCGCCAAAAAATCGCCAAGTTACCATAATCCAAAGATAAATCAAATCATCAATTTAAATCTAGTAAGACGGCATGTAGAATTATAAAATTAAAATTATGAAATCATGATTTATTAAATAATGAAGTATTTATGATCTGGGTATCAAAATTCACAAAAATATTTATTTGTTTACCTTATTAATATTTATTTGTTTACCTTATTAAACATTTTTTGTTGTTTTAAGTTACTTCTTTTTTTGTGCTAAAACTTTCTCTTTAATTCTGTAGACAGAGATAATCTCTTGCTCTATTACATCGTTGAAGTCCTGTAACTGCTGTTTCGAGGATTCCGACTAACTTGTCAATCGAAATTTTCTCGTTTTCAGTAACTTCTCTGTCACCTTCGTCACTATCGGTAGCGATAATTTCTGGATCTAGAACCATACTACAGATTTCTCCATTTATTAATTGATTGATGATTGAGAAGAATTGTCATCACAGTTAAAAACTTCTTTTATATAATCTTCGTTTATTAACCGCTTCTCCAAATTTCTTTATAAAATTCGTTAACTGCAAAATTTCACCTTTGTTTTGTGATATTAGAAAACCTTTAAAATTAGCGGTTGTCATTACCAAATTTAGCTATCCTTTACTATACATATTTGGCTATGCATCATGAGCTTGGTGACTAACGACAAGTTGTTCCGTTAAATTTTATCTTTCTTCTATCGTGCACTCAGACAATTAAGCCTGAATTGTATTAGTTTAGTTATTTATTATACTTATGTCTATTTCTTGCACATGCTTAAGGCTTGAGTTCTGAATAAATAAATTCCCACGTATACTTAAGCTTTATTGAGGGCCGGTGCTAGATATCTTACTGCTTGATGCAGTCTCTGTGGGTCCTAAATTCTGCGACTTGGCACGTCCAAACGAGCCCTGGCACTGGTTCTAGGTTTATGCAAATAACAAATCAGTTATTCTTAATTCAAACAGCCATAAATGTAATCTTTGGGTCTATGAGTATCATCAACAAAATCTATTTTTAGCATATGGAAAAAATTTTTTGGTAAACTTTCCATCGTCAACATTTTTTAGCACATTTAACCAAAATCTGTAATCATTGCCAAGCGTACTGTCAACATAAAAGGTTACCACACTCTTTTATTATTCAAATGCTAACATAAAAAAATTATTTAGGCATCGCTATACGAGTCGCTACTCAGGTAGTCATGTTTTAATAAAGATGTGTAATGAAAGGAAAAGAATAATAAATAATGATTTGCCAGGTTGGCATCAGATCAATGATGCATCTATGTGGAATGTTTTAGTTTGAGTATGTGTGCCAAGCAAACACGCAGCAATGGTGCCAAACTACTGATCGTACAAATTTATGCTAAAATGTTTCCTCAATAACAAGGTATTTTATTTAGTGTCGAAGTGAAATTAAGAATCAGTACTCTCCAGATGTTTTATTATGCGCGGAGGAAAAAAATCAAATGTGCATGCGTAAAATCTACGAGAAAAATTTTATTAATGGTTTTGAGATCCGGATTTTAGATCATTAAGGATAGTTGAGTCCGGATTTTGGACTTTGCACTGTATTAATAAATAAAGAAAATGGAGTCAGATGAATTCTAATATTGACATCTGCTGGCAAATGTGTTCATTGGCAATTTAAGAATAGCTGAACTTGTATACTGAATCCCCCCCCTTAGCGAACAATTCTTATAAAAGTTCTATGGGCGAACAAGTAATGTTATATACTGCACGTCAAGGCTACATTCTTAATTAAGTAAAATATTGTATTGGCCCGAATACAAGTAACTTCACATATCTGAATGACCCTACTAATTCCTTGTGCGAAGTAGAGAAAGTATTGTATTCGTGAAAAATTTCAATTTTCAGATTTCATAGGAAATATCCATTTTGACTATTTCCGTTGTGACGCAGTTAGAAAAATTATTCGTCATAAAATGCTGGAACTTTACATTAGGGAGTTAGATTACTTTCGGCATGACGTTTGTATGTACATATATCTATGTATTTTGCATAACTCAAAAACGATTAGCCGTAGAATGTTGAAACTTTCTATATGGGACTGCTATAATCTAGTTGTGCAATTCCCTTTTATATTGCAATCTGGCAGTACTAAAGGGCACTTTGAATTGGAAGATCATATCTCATTTTCAAATCAAATAAGTTGAAATAAAGTGCACCAAAAATGTGATTAGTTTGTTAGGCGTACAAGAAATTATGTGGTGTCCACATCAGATTTTTTTTAAATGTTTGCAAATTAATAAATAAATATATGGTTTATATATCAAATGATCTCAAATATATGAGCTTTATCTGTTTCTAAGTACTCTACAAGGAAGACAAGAAATAATCTTAATAGCATACCTTGAGAAGAAACACATTAAATACACTTTCTTTTAAAGGAAAATTAAAGAATAATTGATTAAATTTTCTTTAGATCCTTTTATAAATTATTACATATAAAATGAATTATGGTTTTCAGAAAGACAATTTAAGGAGGACAATCACGAACAATTGTGGCCTGGTGACATGGCGCATTGTCATCCATAAAAATCCCATCGTTGTTTGAGTACGTGAAGTCCATGAATGGCTGTAAGTGATCTCCAAGTAGCTGAAGGTATCCATTTCCAGTCAATGATCGGTTCAGTTGCACCAGAGGACCGAGTCCATGCCATGTAAAAACAGCCCAGACCATTATGGAACCACAACCAGCTTGAACAGTGCCTTGTTGACAACTTGGGTCCATGGCTTCGTGGGGTCTGCACCACACTCGAACCCTACCATCAGCTCTTACCAACTGAAATCGTGACTCATCTGACCAAGCCACGGTTTTCCATTCGTTTAGGGACCAACCGATATGCTCACGAGAGTCGCTGCGTGTGA